CTTTGTTCTGGTTTTAGAAGGAACCTAATCAACTATTTGGTTGTTTTGTGCAAGCAGTTAGTGACTAACTCACTGTTTAAACCTCTTTCTTGATCCTCTAAAGAAGTGCTTTGGTTTTTGGAATTCCACTCCTGACAGAGCAGTGATGTGGAATCCCTGTGATCAATGCTGAAGTTGTAGGAAATAGGAGTTCTTAACAATGCGCTAACGCAGATCAATTAAACTAAGTAACCAGATAGGGACCCATGAAAGGCCCTGAGCAGCCATCACTGAACTGTTGCTCACCTGTTGACCACTCAGTTGACTCAAGGGTCCACTGATAGTAGAGATTAAAGGGAACCTTTAAAGGCCCCTATTGAGGGTCAACCGGAAGGAGGGAGGAAAGGAAGGGAGGAGGGGCAAACCAGCAACGGAGAGGTTAACTAAAGCAGGGGCCTTCCATCTCCCTCCTGCCACTCCCCCCCCCCACCCCCCCCACCCCCCACCCCCCCACCCACCCCCCACCAACAACAAAAAACTCTCCGACATGACCCCCACCCGACGCCCCCCAGCCGAGAGCCGGATGGACTAAAGCCTCCCATTGTTGTCCCTTATACAGGATCACCGATGCCTGCCAGTGAAAAAAGGGGGGAGGAGAGGTGGGGTGGTTGGGGGGGGACTGCCAGCTCAAACACAATTGTGTGATAGGACTCGGCCCTATCTAATCAAGGGCAGGAGGTCACTTCCGAACAACCGGGCTATAAAATATTATTTCCTGCCACATAACAGAGGAGCTGTTGGGGAGGGAGGGAGGAGAGGGAGAAGGGAGGGGGAGGAGAGAGATGGGGAAATGGGGGAGGGGCGCAGGCTGTCTGTGAGGAGAGGAAGTGAATTGAAAAAAAGCCAGCAGACGGGAACCATCTGGCTAGATGGTAGTCTAATCTTTAAAAAGAGACGGGGGGCACCAAACACACCCTCCGAAAGGGGCCACTACCTCCAAGGAATGATTTAAGCTCTATTATTTTTTGGAACTTTTGGGAGTCCTTTTTTCCCTTGGTTGAGATATCAAGGAAAAGGGGAAGGAGTGGGTGGTGGGTTGAACATATTGAACATCGCTCATACAGACCTCTCCCTGGGGGCTGTTAAGATAGGACATGATCTTATCAATGTGGGCCCATCCGGCTAGAAGGAAGAGCAGTATAGCTAATATGAAGTATCATTTACTGTATTTCTGTAGCCTACGACGTTTGAGTAACACTTCAACCATCAACTTCGTGTCAATGAAACGTTCTACCTACCTGCTACACCGGAAACCAACCAAAATCGACTTTATTTCTCAGTATTTCAATTCACACAAGATGGAATGAACGCAAGCGTCAGCCATCGAGAATTGAACCTCAGCGATTCTTGAGCTTGGACGCTGCCATTGGACCTGATGCAACGTGGGCAGTATAGCAGCGTTCATTGATTTCAAAGGAAGCGTTCCCTATATGGCTGATGGCTGAGGGAAATGCCGGACGACCGATGGCTGTAGTGTAGCAGGGCCATAAGGTGAAGATTTTGTTGGTGTACTTTTTCAGAACACTTAGCCATCCAACTGTTGTTTTAAAATATCTAAATGTAATTATCTTTTCTAAACTTCCCAGACGAGCAATTCTTGACAGCTCCCTCTGATCAAACCGTCTTCACCTCTAGTTACAATTCTTAGATAAACCCATTGGCCACTTCCCTTTGATTGAATTTGGCATAAGTAGAACACATAATCACCGACATCCATTGGCTATGAGCAAAAGCGCAAAGCTCATCTCTCAAACACTGCTGGCCATTAATTACAATAGGATCCCTCTGAATGATTGCCAGGGCTCGGGTATTGATCCTCTCACTCAGCCCCCACCTTCTCTTCCCCATCCCTACTGGCCTTTGTCCATAAAATGGCTGACAAAGACAGGAAGAGAGGCTTGGGAAGAATGTGTGGTATCAGATGGCAGTAATGCTGCATAGACACATGGCACTTGGGGACGATGTGTGAAGGGTTTACACCCTGGCCCTCTGTGTGTGAAACCATGGAGCAAATGCAAAGAGGCTTGGTTCCAATGGAACACCTCTGCCAAAGTAGTCCCAGCACCTGATATAACATTGTTTATTACTCATGTGAATTATAAAAGGTCACTAAAGTAAGTTAGTGTTTACCTTGTTACCAACCAGCCTGAGATAGAAATCTGGTTGTGGCAGGAGTTATATGTTGTTATTTTTTTTACTTTTATTCTGTTTAGATGAGCAAAGCTTTGCCTTTGGTGACAAATGCTCCAGGGAGTGTTTATAGAAGACCTTCAGCGTCAGCAGCAGTGCTCTGGCTAAGGACAGTCCCGGCCGGCAGCAGAGCTTGTGGGTTGGAGGTTCCACCATTGTGACTCACAGGATAATCATGCATGTTTGCACTCGCAAGGCCCCGATGCTGTCAGAGGGCCGCGGGAGTAGGGCCGCCCAGCTTTACACACTCCAAAATAGCACCCCGTGGGCGTGTGGTGCTGCTAAATTTACTCTGCAACAAGTGCGAGGGAGCCAGTTCGCTTTGCTGCCACTTGTGCCATGGAATGACTTAATAATGACTCATGTTGACTTTTAACCATGTGTGGGACTTGACACAATGATGATGAATATGGAAGCTTATAGGGGTGATGACAAATAATTTCATGGAGCGGAATCTAATATAAAAAAGGAAACTAATATTCAGACCCTTAAAATTTATTTTGACTTTCATCTGATTTGGAAAAAGAAGGCTTTTAAGGGACTCTTGTTAAAAGCTGAGACCTGGAAATGGCGAGCAAAGATATGTTTCCTTATTTGGGTCAGGCTGGAAAATATTAAGTAAACATTTGCTTCCTGTTGGCCGCCTCCTGGATAATATTTTAGCTCTGTCCTGTGTGTCAGGGATCTAAAGTGAAACCTGAAAAAAGAGGCCTCCCTTTGTTTGTGATTGTCCAGAAGCAAATGGGGCTCGAATTGCAGCTCTGAAAGGTAACAGGAAATTGACAAATCACTAATCCACTCAACCATTCAGAGGAACAAACACTCCAGCAAAAAAGGGAAATGCACATTAAAAAGGAGCCATTTGGAAGGGTTGTTCTGTTCATGCAAACTATTGAACCACAGTGACAGGGAATCCTACAGGTTGGGCCCTGTAAGTGCCTAACCAGCTAAATCACAAAATGCCACTTCTTTGGTTTTCTACAAAAATACCCCTTCTCAATGTTTACCACCCAGCCTAGTTATATTATCCACATTAGCCTTTACCTCCCTGAACAACTGTGCTTGTTTTATTCTTGAGGTCAAGTTTCCTACTCCCTCCAAACTGAGATTGTTTGAAATACTAATTGCCCCCTCAAAGTTACACCCTAGTATTTTAGTGCATTTCCTGTTGCCTCTCCGCTATTTCTGACCCACCAACATTAGATGTGAAGACTCATCCCCTGGGGGTCAGCAAACTTCCAGAGTGATAAATTCAGTGACAAAAAGAGGCAGCCAAATGGGGGCTGCATCTGCCCCATCGTTGCCTTTAGTGCAGGAACCGTGCCATAAAAGCTTGGCATTGATAGCAGGTTTATTATCTTTGAACAGGTGGACCTGGGTAGTTGTAATGGTGGCTCTCATTTCTCAGACACATAGCGTGGCCTCACATTATGGAGACCATTTGAGAATCGGGAAGAATCTGATATACTGTAGCAACTTTTAAAACCAGGGATTAAATCTATGGCTTAGTTTCTTGGTGACCTCTTGGCTGGAATTAAGTTTCTCAAGTGTTGGAACTTCCGGTTAGTATCATTGGTGGCCATTTTGCATTCAGATGTAGGCTTATTTTACATGATCAGTTTAAAGCGTAATCAAGCCAATAAATAGATCCTGATATAATATGCTTGCAACATTCAGGGTAAAAGTGGTTCTGACTCACTTCAAGTACATATTTTTCCCAGAATTCCACACATGAACAAATGAGTGAACAGCAAATTGGTGTTGACCAAACTATTCCACGTTACCCAAAGAAATTATGCAAGAACCAAACTTGGACCCATTCAATGTAATGCCTTAATACCCCGAAATAATTCAAACCCGTGTTAAAACACTCCCCAGGGTCAATGTAATGAGGATAATCAAGACACAAGACATAACATTTTTTTTCATTAATTAATATATTTTCTGCATTAAAGTTAACATAGTTTATTCTTTTGTGCCACCCTTTAATTTTTCAGTAAGTATTGATATTTTGTTATATTCAGACATGAGTAAATTTAAGACTGTCTTTTGCAATAAATATCATAAAATAGAGCTTCACATAATAAATATTTTTACAACAAAAAGAGAATACATTTTCCTTTAAAAAAAAAAAAAAAGCCAGATTCCTCTTATGGATTTGAGCATAAAATGTACACACAAAAAAAAAAAAAAAGAATGCGTGTGAACGATGAGTGGGGAAGGGGGAGAAACATATCCAACAGAATACTATGAGATGGACGTGCTTTCCATAATGCAACTTGAGCACAGAAACCCAGCTAGCTATGGTCTGAGTGTGGTAGCAACTGGGAATTCTAACAATCCTTGTTTGCTATGAACATGTGGTAACAGCTACATATTGCCTAGCTAGATAGTCCTTCACAGATTTGGTAAGAGGCTGCTCTCACTTGAAGCTTAAAGCACCAGGGAAACGCTGCCTAGCGAACAGAAAATTATTTCTAAACAAGTGTTACGGAGTAGCTGAAGACTGACAAAAAACAACAACATTGAAGACAAACACTGGTCTGTAAAAACACGGTCCTGTTGCAAAAAAGAAAGAATTGAGTGGTTTTCATATTCCGTGCTTTACTCCTATCAGGATTCCCTGTTGGAGAAAGGAAGTGGGTGGGAGGTGCTTAAAATGTTTGATAAACATCAATAGTAATAGTGACTTATCATCATCATCATTATTATCATAGTCAGAACCACACAGGGGACCAACTACCCGCCCCTCTTCCCGCACACACAGAGGATCAGGAAGGCTTTTCCTGGGCCTGTTGGGACCAGCTCTCCAGTTTGCAATAGACAGTGTTGGAGTTCTTGCAGCGGCACCCGGGCCTGTTGACTTGGTCGTAGCAGCCCTGGCACGCCTTCAGGCACCCCTTGACGGGCGGGTAGCACAGCAAACAGGGGAACAGTACCGACAGTAATCCCATGCAGAGGAAGCGTGAGCAGCAGTGGGAGCGTGACAGCGAGCAGGGGTGGTCGGCGCACGAGTCCCCCTCGTCGTCGTTGGAACAGTGGTAGAAGATGCCCTTGACCAGGCACATGCACGTGCCATGCTCCAGGGCGCTCTCCGCCGAGCACAGGCACTGGCCGTTGCAGGCCAGGCACGAGGGCAGGGTCCTTGGGGCTGTGCAGTCTCTGCACTTGCACTTCCCGCAGCATTCGCAGATGAACTGGTGGCCAGACGCCATGTCCCCTTTCCCTGAGGGCTTGAGCGGTGCCTCCAGTGGCAGCAGCGGGTGAGAGCCCTGCTGGGGGGCTAGCAGCACCTTGGGCTGAGTCCGAACAGGCTGAGTCCGCTCGGCTCTGTGGTGGTGCTGGTGGAGGGCCACCATCCCTTGTCTAGAGGGAGGCGAACGGGCCAGGAGTCCCTGCTCAGAGGATACACTGCTGTTGCTCCCTGAGCTGGCCGCGCTGCCTGTACTGGTGGAGCGATTAAGGCCCGGGGCCCTGGTGCTACACTGCTGGCCCCCGGCCACTACCACCACCCCACCGTGGTGGCCCTGCCCTACCGGCCGGTGCTCGTAGTTGTTGTTCACATTGACGAGGATCACCTCGTGAGTCCTCTCCTGCTGCTTGTCGGGCCTGGGCACCATGCGGGGCGCAGGGGGCCTCCGGACCACCGAGGGCCCTTCTGTGTACTCGTTGCTGGATCGGATGGCCTTGATTTGGTCCAGGGAAAGGATGGCGGCATGTTGGAGCTCCCGCTCGTAATCCGACCTCTGCCGGCCCTCCAGGGAAGGCTGCTGGATCACCACTAATGAACCGCCAGGGCCATGTTGACTTTGGAGCGCCATCTGGGGTGATCACCACTTCCGACATTCACCGTGGACTTGGCATGCATCGGAAAACCTGCGAGAGACAGCAAGAGACACAGGAAAGGGCCATCAGTAAAGACAATGATGTCGTTTGCAAATGAGAAATATAGGGTGGTGGAGATTTGGGAAAACTGTTCCCTTATCATTTTAGGTTCAACTCTTGATTGGAAAAGCTAAAGAGCTGAAAAAGTAAGACCATCAATAGATCCTTGGATCATCTCAATTTATAGATCAAACATTTTTCATCGATGATCATATTTCATCAAAGTTATAAAACGGGTTAAGAGAGTCTATTAATGAGAGGAGTATGCTATTTTGTGCTTACATTCCCATTTTAGTATTAGCAGACGCTATTATCCAGTTAGTCTTTTTCATCTTAGGATAGTTAGGTTAGACAACCACATCAGTCATAGTACGTACATTTTTCCTCAAAGAAGTTAAGTTATCAGCAAAGTCAGTGCTAGTAGGAAAAGAGAAGTGCAGTCAATATTTTCAACTAATTAAGAACATGTTCACATAGCCCAACTATTGTTTTCTATGCATGCCGTGGACAAAAGTAGACTATTAACGAGACTTTTTGTACCTTCCTCAATATGCACACATCCAAACTTCAGTACAAATAGGCTACTTCCCGTCCTCATTTACATTTGTATGACTAGTTAACATTTAAATGCGCCAAGGCGACGGAACGAGGCCACGATCCAAGAGGACAAAATGAGCTGCCTCTCGTATTATTATATTACTAAACGAAAGACTGTTAGAAGGAAATGTGGTGACAAAAAACTAAGGTCACGACAGAACCCGACAGCAGTGTCAACTTTATGTCCATATAATTTCAAGCACATGCTTAGTTTATTGTGCTTCTCAAGCACATTTGACAACTGAAATAAAGCCAATACCGTTACTGGTTTAAGATAACAGCTTCTGGAATTATCCGTGGTAGGTCTAGCTATAAAGTCGTATCGCTGTTAAAACAGGAACGCAAACGGAACCTTAATCAGTAGGCCTAAACACATTTTGGCACAGTCTAAATCAAAGTGACACAAGCATACAAATACGTTTAAAAACGGATACAATTTGCAGATAGGCATTATCTGCGCGAAGAAGCTTGCTTATAAGTAGAGCCCTATCATTTATTGACTTCGCTTCATGAAACCCCACAGTACCTTGCACGGTAACTAGATTTTGCCACTAGATATAAGGGCGGCCTAATTATTGTATTGTAAAAGGGCAAATACGCCGATAGTCATATCATAGGCTACTTCAAATATGTCTATGCCATAGGGTTTAGCTGACCGTGCGACGTCCCATGTGATAGAAACCACAGAGGATCAAATCAACGGATCTAGAGATGAATAGAAAAATACGGAGGAAAAACCTTATGAATGAAAACTAGGCTACCGTGGGGGTGGGGTGTTTGTTTGCGCGTGAGAGTTCTCTCTCCCCTCTGAACCAAACTATGACCGTTTTGATTCCCTTCGAGAGTCGAATGGTCTGTGTTAAATAGGCACACCGAGTAGAGGACACAAGCAAGCATGTACATTATGAAGAGAACGCTCCACAGATTCAAGCACCAGATGATGCGTGTTCCCAATGCCATCTATCTCGATAAACTAACGACAAGCATATTCCATGCAACTAAAGTGGCAACAATGTTTCCAGAGCCGGAGTTCTGAACCCTATGCGTATATTAGCCTCCTTATCCGAGGAAGATTAGCTGCGAAATGTTCGTCATTTTAGCAACAAAGAATCTATGAACAAACCAGACATTTCCAATATGTTTCATTGAGAGGGGAGATACGCACCCATCTGTAACCATCCATAACGTCGAATCCATCAACCAATATACCAAAACTCCATCCAAGGAAATAGTCCAAGCGTATTTTAATTAGCTCTTAAAATTCGTAACGATGGCGTTAAATCCAAATACAGATGTTGTATCTTCTTTCGTTATTCGTTCTCAAAATCTGGTGCATTACACCAATGTGCTCCAGAAACGGTAAATCCACGCTTCTATGGAATAGGTACCAAATAGCCTAAACGTTGCGCGTTTGAGACCGATCTGGTCAGACAACCGAGTTTATTAGTCCTAGAGCAGAGTAACAATTGCAGGGAAAAGCTTTAGGATTCTTGAAAGCACAATAATTCACGATATGAAGAAAATAATTATATATCCAATGGTTTTCAGCCTTCTTATTCTGCTTGGAGAATAGTAAAAGTAGGTTTTTGTTGTGCGGAATGCTGAAAAGCAAGCACTAGTCGAAGACGTGCTCTCATCAACACTGCAGGACTGTCGAGCACTGAATGAATGAGAATGTAGGGCTCAGTGTTTGCTTGACAAGCCAACTCCCATTGGCCATTCACTCCACTGAAAAAGGATACATCGCATCCGCTCTTAATTCATTGGGCAGATGTGGAAGGCTGGGCGATAGAGATGTGTGCAGCAGTTAAGGTGGAACGGTTTACAATAGCTGAGAAGCGCCTTTCCGTTCTTGTGGTTGCAAATTAGGGAACAGTGGCAACAACATTTTAGATATAGGCTTTAGGCCAACAGTATTACATACTTAAGCTACATTATTTTCTGCTTAGAGTTTGATGCGCAATTGTGTATTTCTAAATCTGCAACGCGTAAATGGAATGGTGAGATACCGTGGAATGCATTAAATAAAAAAGGTTATCGATTCAAAAGGGATAATTTTATAATAAAATGGCATATATAGAAAATTAAACGACAACCCCTCCACTACTCACTTTTTTTCCCTCAGTGGCTCAGTAAACTTGACTTCGGAACCACCTTAAGAAAAAGGCACCCCACTAGCAAGGGGAAAGATTCCCCCCACCCACCGCCCCCCTCTGTTCTTGACTGTCTGGTTTGATTGGTGTCGCGGATGCGCTACATCCGGATCCACGAGAAAAGGAAGTTCAATACAGAGTCAATTTATCCTCTTCAAATGGAAAAATCAATAGATAAATGACCTCAATATAATCTCGGGTCAGCAAATTCTGCAAAACTTCTAAATTTAACGGACTGATAAATGCATCTGTAGGCCTATATGTCTCTGATGTTTGGGCGGATATATATAAAAAAAATAGTTTGTAAGCTTAATGATTGATGATAAACCAACTCCTGCTGGATTCCCAAACGACAGATAATAACCTCTTCATAGTGGTCAGAAGTGCAGAGAGCAGTCAGACATTTTACGATTAGCCTACCTCAATTAACATATTTCAATGGATGCAATGATTAATATACGATCCGTGCTTGTTTCCCCCCTGGATATATCCAAACCAGACATGTCCAATATGTTTCATTGAGAGCGGAGATACGCACCCATCTGTAAGCAAATGCAAAGCAAATGGAAAGTTCACATTCTTAAAGATGAATGCAAACGTTTCCTTCAAACTTCTCATCCCATGCAATAATTTGTGTTGCGTTATATATAACTCCTGCTTTGAAAATAGCCTAAGAAAGAGCCTTGGTTAAATGAATTGATGTTGGCTATGTTTCTGTATTGTAATCTTTTTCTCTATTTGTTTTACCAATGCCTAATATAATCGATGTGTCTTATGAGGATAACATTATAAAAAGCATTAACAAGCATATAGAGAAACAATTAATTTATTACATTGTAGCCTAATATTGCATTTAAGGTAGCACAGGTTTTAAAAAAATTGTAGAGAATTGTGCCTTAAGGTTGGTTATTTAGGGAGACTAACAATTAGGCCTGCTGAGCACGTTACAAAGTAGCCTATTGATTAAATCACATGGGCAATTCTGGGCTATTATTTCCCCCTATTCACTGATGTAATGTCCATTTGGAAACCCTTGTGACTCCAGTGGATTACTGCATTTATGGTTAACATATGCAGTAGGTCGGCAAAGAGTCTCGCAGCTTTGTCATTTTTCCACCGCGACGTCAGAAGAAGCTCAGGCCGCGTTGCGGTTGACAGTTGATATACGACTGGACGAGAGAGTGGAACTCGAAGCTTCACGGCGTTTTCAAAGTTTCTCCCCATGATGAGCTGTGCTTTGATGTCCTCTTGCAGGGCCAGCAGGGCAGCCTCTCTGCATACTGCCGTTATCTGCGACAGATACAGATAGGACTGTCAGACCGTCAGATCTCAACCACTTAACATCATATGAGCATCCACAGCCACTAGGCTACTAGGGCTGTGATGAGCAGGTCAACAATGAACCTCTATAAAAAGCAGTGGTGGAAATACTACTCAATTGTCATACTTGAGTAAAAGTAAATGCTATACATCAAATTCCTTATATTAAGCAAGCCAGATGCCACAATTGTCTTGTTTTTAAAATGTATGGACAGCCCACACTCAGACATCATTTACAAACGCAGTATTTGTGTTTAGTGAGTCTGCCAGATCAGGGGCAGTAGGGATGACAATGCGTTATATTGATAGTTGCGTGTATTGGTCCATATTGCTGTCCTGCCTGAGCATTCGAAATGATGTAACGAGTACTTTTGGGTGTCAGGGAAAATGTATGGGAGTAAAATGTAGATATTTTCTTTAGAAATGCAGTGGAGTAAAATCATACAGGTTTAGCAGATGTTATTGCGGGTGTAGTGAAATGCTTGTGATCTTAGCTCCAACAATGCAGTAATATCTAACAATACACAACAATACACACAAATCTAAAAGTAAAAGAATGGAATTAAGAAATATAGAAATATTAGGATGAGCAATGTCGCAGTCCGAAGTAAGTAAGTAAGTAAGTACAGTTGAAGTCAGAAGTTTACATACACTTAGGTTGGAGTCATTCAAACTCGTTTTTCAACCACTCCACAAATTTCTTTTTAACAAACTATAGTTTTGGCAAGTCGGTTAGGACATCTACTTTGTGCATGACACAAGTAATTTTTCCAACAATTGTTTACAGACAGATTATTTCACTTATAATTCACTGTATCACAATTCCAGTGGGTTTAAATACACTAAATTGACTGTGCCTTTAAACAGCTTGGAAAATTCCAGAAAATGATGACATGGCTTTAGAAGCTTCTGATAGGCTAATTAACATCATTTGAGTCAATTGGAGGTGTACCTGTGGATGTATTTCAAGGCCTACCTTCAAACTCAGTGCCTCTTTGCTTGACATCATGGGAAAATCCAAATAAATCAGCCAAGACCTCAGAAAAATTATTGTAGACCTCCACAAGTCTGGTTCATCCTTGGGAGCAATTTCCAAATGCCTGAAGGTACCACGTTCATCTATACAAACAATAGTATGCAAGTATAAACACCATGGGACCACGCAGCCGTCATACCGCTCAGGAAGGAGACGTGTTCTGTCTCCTAGAGATTAACGTACTTTGGTGCGAAAAGTGCAAATCAATCCCAGAACAACAGTAAAGGACCTTGTGAAGATGCTGGAGGAAACAGGTACAAAGGTATCTATATCTACAGTAAAACAAGTCCTATATTGACATAACCTGAAAGGCCGCTCAGCAAGGAAGAAGCCACTGCTCCAAAACCGCCATAAAAAAGCCAGACTACGGTTTGCAACTGCACATGGGGACAAAGATCGTACTTTTTGGAGAAATGTCCTCTGGTCTGATGAAACAAAAATAGAACTGTTTGGCCATAATGACCATTGTTATGTTTGGAGGAAAAAGGGGGTTGCTTGCAAGCCGAAGAACACCATCCCAACCATGAAGCACGGGGGTGGCAGCATCATGCTGTGGGGGTGCTTTGCTGCAGGAGGGACTAGTGTATTTCACAAAATAGATGGCATCATGAGGAAGGGAAATTATGTGGATATATTGAAGCACCATCTCAAGACATCAGTCAGGAAGGTAAAGCTTGGTCGCAAATTGGTCTTCCAAATGGACAATGGCCCCGAGCATACTTCCAAAGTTGTGGCAAAATAGCTTAAGGACAACAAAGTCAAGGTATTGGTGTGGCCATCACAAAGCCCTGACCTCAATCCTATAGAACATTTGTGGGCAGAACTGAAAAAGTGTGTGCGAATAAGGAGGCCTACAAACCTGACTCAGTTACACCAGCTCTGTCAGGAGGAATGGGCCAAAATTCACCCAACTTTATTGTGGGAAGCTTGTGGAAGGCTACCCGAAACGTTTGATCCAAGTTAAACAATTTAAAGGCAATGCTACCAAATACTAATTGAGTGTATGTAAACTTCTGACCCACTGGGAATGTGATGAAAGAAATAAAAGCTGAAAGAAAATCATTCTCTCTACTATTATTCTGACATTTCACATTCTTAAAATAAAGTGGTGATCCTAACTGACCTAAAACAGGGAATTTTTACTAGGATTAAATGTCAGGAATTGTGAAAAACTGAGTTTAAATGTATTTGGCTAAGGTGTATGGAATCTTCCGACTTCAACTGTATGTATGTATATGTGTATGTGTGTGTATATATATATATACATATATATACACACACATATGTGTATGTATGTATATGTATGTATATATATGTGTATATACAGTGGGGGAAAAAAGTATTTAGTCAGCCACCAGTTGTGCAAGTTCTCCCACTTAAAAAGATGAGAGAGGCCTGTAATTTTCATCATAGGTACACGTCAACTATGACAGCCAAAATGAGAAAAAGAAATCCAGAAGATCACATTGTTGAATTTTTAATGAATTTATTTGCAAATTATGGTGATAAATAAGTATTTGGTCAATAACAAACGTTTCTCAATACTTTGTTATATACCCTTTGTTGGCAATGACACAGGTCAAACGTTTTCTGTAAGTCTTCACAAGGTTTTCACACACTGTTGCTAATTTTTGGCCCATTCCTTTGGCCCATTCCTCCATGCAGATCTCCTCTAGAGCAGTGATGTTTTGGGGCTGTCGCTGGGCAACACAGACTTTCAACTCCCTCCAAAGATTTTCTATGGGGTTGAGATCTGGAGACTGGCTAGGCCACTCCAGGACCTTGAAATGCTTCTTACGAAGCCACTCCTTCGTTGCCCGGGCGGTGTGTTTGGGATCATTGTCATGCTGAAAGACCCAGCCACGTTTCATCTTCAATGGCCTTGCTGATGGAAGGAGGTTTACACTCAAAATATATATATATGTGTATATAGATATAGAGATATATATATATATATATATACACACATTATATATATATATACACACACACACACACACACACACACACACACACACATACATACATTACATATATACACACATATATACACACACACATATATACACACATATATACACACACACATATATATATATATATATATATATATATATATATATATATATATATATATATATATATATATATATACACACACAGTGGGGAGAACAAGTATTTGATACACTGCCGATTTTGCAGGTTTTCCTACTTACAA